TCCGGCTTTTTTCTTTTTGCTTATGTGGTGCTGAGGAATCGAACCCAGGGCCTCAGGCATGCAAGGCAAGCGCTCTACCACTGAGCCAACTTCCCAGCCCACCAGCTGGCTTTCTAGTGGCATCTTAATCCCAATTTATCTCTGAGCTCCAGCTATGCTGGACTTTTTACAGTGCTCAGGACCTTTATTTCAGTGCTCAGGACCTTTATTTTTACAGTGCTTCAGACCTTTATTTAAGGTTTCTATTCAATCATCTTCTATACGGAATGACCTCTGCTTTGCACAAGTCAAATTTATCCTAAATACCAGAATAAGGCATTTTTCTCCTTTCTAAAAGCCTACTGCTCTGCACTACATTTATTTTAACACTTACTCCATGGCATGTGAGTGTTTATTGTCTTTGACACTGTGCTGAGTATTATTGCTTATGTTTGAGCATTTACCTGGAATAACTGCTTGCTATAATGTTTCGCAGGCGAGGAGAAGTTAGAGAAGGAGAACAGAAATTGTTTTCAGCGTGGCCGGCTGCTACCGGCCACTCCCAGATTCCACGTAGTAAATCTTAATGAAGGAACAGTCTGAAACACTCCATACCCTTCTCGGCTAGTTCCTGTTCTTCATAAGAATTCCCTGGAGCCGGAACGCAGAGTGAACCTGACTTTAAATAAGCATTTACCAAAGTTCTTAGATCATTCAAGTCTTGGAAATCACATCCATTTTATTGTTTAAATGAACTTAAAGTCAGTTTTATATCTGCAGTCCTGCAGATTTTGTAGCATGGTCTGTTGATCATTGCTGCTACCTAGAATTATGCATAATGAATTTTTTTGTGTATAGGTAACTAGGTGAATAAGAATTCAGACAAAAATGTAGGCATTGTTTAAATATTGATGTAAACCTTAATATTCTCAACTAAAATTATGGGGAGGAGTCAGTGACAATTTTAAGGACAGCAGACGTTGACCCAGGAAAAGTTTAAGAGCATTCACCTAATAGACTCTAGGTAAACATAACAAGTCTCTTGCACACTGAAAAGGGCTGGAATACTTTCAGATTTACAAAATGGCTTCACCCCTCCTTGTTCCTCTGTGACAACCACCATTGTCCACTAGCCAGCCAGCAGTAGTCCATAAGGACCTTTTGAGTTTCCATTCAAACTAGCATACTTGAGATGTAGCTCGGATTTTACCACGAGAGAGAGAGTCATTTGTTGAGTTCAAAACCACTTTTTTCAAAAGTCCTTAAAAGGTACACCAGGGAAAACCAAGCCCTTACCACCTGCTAATGTCTTCATAAGAAACACCTTGGGACAGTTTCATCAAGGGTGATGAAAGACTAGTAGATAAATCTGTTTATAGAGAGGAGACTGGTGGAGAGAAAGACTAAGAAGAAAGACTAAGTAGTAATAGTGACTTATGGTTATCTGGGCCAGGCAGATATACAAAACAGCAGAGTATGAAGAAACTCGGAACACCATGCACTTGCTCACAAAAGGCAAGCATTGTGAAAACGCAGTGTCTAAATTGCACATGCTCACTGCTGAGTGATGCACTCCGTGCATGTTCAGACCTAGATTTGGTCCTGGGATGTTCTACTGCTTAATCAGATGTCCTCATGACCTTGAGAGAAACTTCATAAGCTTTTTGTTCTAAATCTTATTTTGTCCTTGGCCACATGTGTCAAATGGAAGCTATATGAGTAATTAATTTATAAGTTTTCCATGTTGAATAAAAGAGATGATGCAAATGAAGCATTTGGCACAGTGCCTGGCAAAGAATAAACACGCAATAAACTTTAGTTATTGTGGAATCAGCAATATACTGAGTTACATGAATGCTTAAATAGTCCATAACTGAAAATGTGTATGTGAGTTGTTGGAAGCTGGGAATCTACGTCTAGTCAGAAAACCCAACTATGAGAAATGGCATTTAAGCCAGCTGCACACTGATGGCTAACACCTGTAAACCTAGATACTTAACAGTCTGAGATCTGAGGATCATGATTCGGAGTCAGACTAAGTAGGAAAGTTCATGAAACCAGCAGAAAGCTGGCAGTAGTCGCATGGCTCAAATGGTAGAGGGACAGCCTCCCACGAAAAAGATAAAGGGCTGTGCCCAGGTTTGAGTTTAAGGTCCTGAGTAGAAGGCACAATTAAAAAGGCAAAGGCATTTGGTTCGACCCCATTTAGGGGGATAGATTGGAGATGGAAGGTGAATAAGCTGGGGAGGAGCAGGTATGGAGGAGACTCTGGCCTGAAAGAAACAGGGCAAAGGAGAAGACATGCTAGCCACTTTGGTTAAAGCCTGGGAGGAGTGGGATTGAAGAGGAAGAATGAGAAGCTAGGGCAGAGCCACATCAGTTATTTGTATCAGAAACTCAGCTACAAGTAATTAACTCCCTAACCATTGTCTGTGCTACAACACAAAGACATTCATAGTTGCTTGACCAGGACATCTGCGATGACAGAGTCCTCCGATTCATTTGGTGGTTCAACAGGATCATCAAGGACCTGGGCTCTTTCTGTTATGTCTGTCCTTATAGTGGCAAAGGAGTGTCACAACCCCTAGCATCCTTTCCTCATATATTACTGCTGGACCACTGGAAAATAAAAGCAAAACAACCTATAAATGAAGCAAAACAGTATTTATTGCTGACTGCAAGTAATGTAGCTACTGCCTTGCCAGAGTCATAGTAAATCTAGATAGGTAGAAGGCAAAAGCAAAATATTTATGAT